CGGGGAGGCAGAAGGCGGCGTGGAGGACGGCGCGAGAGGGCTCCTCAGGGAAGATGAGGGGAGCGCAGTGGCCGGGAAGGAGGCGGCCAGAGGAAGAGATGACAGGACGGAGGAGGCTTGGAGGGTTAGGACTGGGCGGCGGGAGGACCCAAGGCCGGGGAGAGCACGGAGACGAGGGGGTCAGGCTTGGGGCCGCATCACAGGCGCGGGGGCGGCCATGGCGACGGCGGCCGAGGAGGAGGACGAAGAGGAAGTGGCGGCTTGGGAGCCGGCCGCCCGCCCAGCTTCGGGGTCCGCGCTCTGGCGCCTGCCGGAGGAGCTGCTGCTGCTCATCTGCTCCTACCTGGACATGCGGGCCCTTGGCCGCCTGGCTCAGGTGTGCCGCTGGCTGCGGCGCTTCACCAGCTGCGACCTGCTCTGGCGCCGGATAGCCCGGGCCTCGCTCAACTCCGGCTTCACGCGGCTCGGCACCGACCTGTAAGCGCCCGCTAGCCCGCCCACCCCCTGCCCGGGCCGGCCCGCGTCCCGGGAAAGGGCGGGGCGCCGCGGCCTGGTCGGCCTGGAGCCCAGTTCGCCCCAAATTCCCGAAGCCCAGAACGGGTCTCCACCGAGACCTTCCCCTTAGTACTCAGGGTGTCCCAGCGCCTCTCTTCTCGAGCCCCCCAACCAGGGAAGCCTCTCAAGAGCAGCCCGCAGTCAGCACACTCCCTGGGGTGGCGCCTCACAATAAGCCAGGTCAAGCATCCCCTTGGTTTGTCTTCGCGCTGACTTGCAGTGCGGTGGTTCCTCAGCCTCTGTGGAGCCCGACTGGCCAGTGGCTTTGAATACCACCCCCTGTGCAGGGCTGAGACTGTGAGAAGGTCTGTCAGAAGGTTTTGTGGTTATTTGTCCTTCCACCTTCCTCTAAAGATTGCTAGGCTCAGGGCTTGGGTAAAATCAAATTTGGAGCCAGACTCAGACCCTGCAAGCAGGCCCAAAGTCCAGGTGTCAACCATAGTTTATAATGATACAGGTTGTGCGAGATCATCAGAATGGGTGCCTGCTTGGGGCGAAGGCTGGGTTAGGTCTAGGCTGTATACAAAGGCATGTTAGGGACTGACACCTGTGAATGGGAAACTTTCCTGAACCACTTAAGCTGTTAAATATGAAGGGGAAAATAAGTATAGAGTTGGAGGGAGTAAAAACTTTCAGATGGTATCCAACTCCATCCAGTTTGGGTTAAAAAGGTAGTTCTAATGTTGTGTAATAACATTAAAGTTTGTTAAAACACTTCTAGACAACGATTTTCATTTGTAAAAGTTACATTTAAGTTGCATATTTCCTACCATTTAGTTGCTATCAGTGATCCTATGAGAATTGGTGCATAATAAATATGACTTGTATCATGAGATTGTAAACATTCCTCTGATAGTAAACTCTCATTGTGCCCAGTTTTTTGTTGTTATAGATAACAATGGGATAACTATTTTTATGTATGTTTGGTAATAGCTTTATTGAGCTATAGATCACATTTCTTTTAAAATTAGTTCCATAGGATAAATTCTTGAGGCTGGCATTGGATGAAAGGTTAATAGTTTGTATTGGTGTTATATCAGGTTACAGTGGTATCAGCAGAGAATGACCCAACTAATTTCATGTGAGAATTTAAATTTTTTTTTGCTGTTTTAGTGTACATTTTTTGGTGTCGCAAAGTTTTATTATTTTGCATTTCTTTTACCACTGAACAGGATAAATATTTTCCCATGTGTTTCTTTCATCTATTCCTAGTGTTTGCCAACTTATTATTAAGCCTTCACAGAAGTTTTGTACTTGGATATATACACATGAACAAGATTGTATAATATATAAAATATACTTAGTATACTTATATATTAGAGATATCTGTTCATCTTTTGTGATTTTTTTCCCTTTTACTCATGGAGCAGAAAAATGTGTAGTCCCTTGGAAGACCTGATCAATCTTGATATTTTGATTTTCTTGTAATTTTATTTTTTAACAGCACTTTCATTAGTGTCATTGTTTTGGTGCAAGGAGTGATTTCATTATTACTGTTTTTTTCCTAAACATTTATCTAGTTATCCCTATACCTTTTGTTAAATAATTCTTTGCCCTTTTTGGAAAGTTTGTGTTCCCAAATATTTTATATTTGTGTATGTATATGGACATATATATATATATATATATATATATATATGCAACCTGTGACACTTAGTGATGGGGATTCATTATATATCATAGACAGTTTCATCATTGTGCAAACATCATAAGGTGTTAATTAAAACCAACCTAAATGGCATAGCCTACTACACACCTAGGCTACATGGTATAGGAACCATGGATATTCTGCCTGTCCTTGACAGAACATTAAGTGGTGGATGATTTAGTGTATGTGTATATTGGATCTCTATATAACTTCCATTTTGTTCCACTGCTATAGTTTTATATTTCCATACTATTAAAATATTGTTGCTTTTGATAGAGTCTAATATCTTTTAGATTATCCTTGTTGGATTTTGTATATTTGTCACTCATCCCCCGGGGGGTGGAAATCCTGTGCCTTTTCAAAAGTTTTTTTTTTTCTGTAGATTTATTTATGCATACTAGAACTGGGGAACAGGCCAGATTTGTGGGGATGAGAGGATTCACCAGAGAAAGAGTGGGGAGCAGAACAGGCAAAACACTGCTGAGGGGAGCAGTGAGCAAGATAGGAGAGGCCTCCTGAGCCATGTGGATAACCTTCAGAGCAGGGGATCAAACTTGTGTTTCAGAGGCTGATCGCTTCATAGTGCTGTGCTTTAACCCATTGTATCACCAGGGAGGGCTCCCCTTTTCAAAAGTTTCAGTGGCTTTCACTATAAAGTTCCCATATGTCTATTTTTACATGTATTCCCAAATATACTAGGCAATCTCTCAGTATTCTTTCTCTTCAACTGGCTGTTATTAATCATATACAAAAATTACCTTAATTTTTGTAAACTTTGAACCTAATCATTTTGCTTAACTTTTATTAATTCCAGTACAATTTTTGTTAATGATAATGACTCTTTGAAATTTTTAAGAAATGCAGTCTTAATTGTCTTCTTTCAGTTTCAAAGAACATAGTTGATATGTAAAAGAAGTTAAAAAAGTGGGAGCCAAACCAATGAAAGCGTTTGGCTTTCCTTATAGAGATTAAGTGAACAAATGAAAGAGTTCATGTTTGTTTTTCTTTCCACTTCAAATGTTCTAAGACAGTGGGAATGAGTGTGCATTCTGTAAGCAGTAATAATGTAGAAATGTGTTTAAGGTATAAAGTGCTTTGAGACTGACAAGTGATATGATTTTAGTGTTTATTAGCCGTGTGTGTTTTGCTTTCTTGACTGTGTCCTAGCATGAGGTATCTAAGGAAGTTGTTTTTTCACAGTACTTGATAAAAAGCAGGGTCACTGCTCATGTTTTCTGAGTTGAGGGGAGAAGTTATATGTATTACAGCAGGTGGAGAGAGTGTTTACCAGTGTGGTCTCTTTCTGGACAGCTGCAGAGATGTGATAAGCCACCAAGAGAGGTGTTCATATTTCTGGAGGGAGACTGCATACATCCCTGCCCTCTTAGGGTATAAAGGAGCCTGGGTCCCAAATACAGTGAGAGTATAGCTGCTGGAATAATTGGCAGGGCTTTAATTTAGACTTTGGCTTATTTACTGTAGTCTGGACATTGAGATAAATGTTTAAATGTACAACCTAAACTTCACTTATCAGAAGCAACACAGTTCACTGGGACCTGAATTTTACCATTTTTTAGAGAATGTGAATGCCATACCCAGTAATATGAGGCTTGCATGTAGTAAAGTGTAGGTGCAGCATATTGCCCAGCATACTACAACAATGTAATTAGTTGTTGTAAAATGGAACATTTTTTAAAAAATTTATTTATTCATATGGAACTGGGGTACAGACCAGAGGTGCGGAGGGTGAGAGGATTCACCAGAGACAGCAGGGAGCAGAACAGGCAGATGGACAAAG